TTTACTTTTTTCTCTCTCTATGGTACCCGTCTCTTCTTTCATTCACTTGTTCTTTAGAACTAGCATCAAATATTCGTTGAAAAAATTGATCTATTGGACAGGTCCTTGATAAAGATAAAAATTCTCGCTGCGATTTAGCCGTTGGTTAAGAACTTCTCGCACAATTTATGCATGAATAATGAATTAAAAATCAAGTAGCTAAAAATCTGAACATGCTCATGTAACTGTGAACGACATCGTAGATTTGGATACTCAGATGCAAATATATCAGGTGGGACATCGAAAAGGCCGATAAACAAGATGGTAATTTAGTTTTTCTGGCATTTTTCCAAAGATGCTTTTTAAACTCAAATTGAATTTCATTTTAAAATAAAACTTTCTTCTCCCTCCATTTTCAGCACAAGATTCCAAGTATCTGAAACTCTGAGTACGAAATGAAAAGTTCGGAAAAGAAATATACTGTTGAGTCTGCAAAGTGACGCGCAGGAAGACATTTCAAAAAATGGTTTTACAAAGTAAAAATAACAATAGCTGCTTACCATGATATTTGGCATCTGTATCGACAAAACCATCGCTACGTTCTTCGTCTTCAATAATCGTATAAACTGGACCCGGTCGGTACGGTTTATTGGTGAAGTAATTCATCGCTGCCGCATAATCAATTTCATCAATTTCCACCGACTTCAATGAAATAAGAAAAATACAAACTATATCCATGCACTGGATGTAATATTCTTTCTATAACATTCTTTCTACCAGTTCCTCAGCTTTATAATGATAATTAAAAAAAAAGGAAACCTGAGGATAAACTAAAATATACTACTACAACGCTCTATCTCTTTCTCTAGAAAAATACTAAACAAAGCCTGCACTACAAAAATATTAATGAAATGCAATGAAAGGAAAAGTTTATTTTCTACAATGTCATCTGGATTTTTCCAAGGTTCGCCATTTTCTTCTTCACTCAAAAATGGATTTATCCTCGAAGATGCCAAAGTATTTTTCTCAACTGCACCCGTATCATCAATCTGAACACTGTTTGCTGGCAAAATTGCCAATGCCTTACTATCGGTCTAAAAAAAGTAAGAAATTATTTTGGTCCGGAAACAATCCACTTATTTTTTGGAAGAAAAAATGTTGCAAGTTCTGTTTTCGTATCCAATCCAAAATAAGGAAAAGTTCAAAATTAACAATTTAACTATTTGCTTCGGAAATCCAAAAAAAAAAAAAAAAGAAATTGTTTGTTGATAGGGTGCGCCTACTGAATTGCTATGCCGTAGGTGGCATCTTAGCTGCAAGACAAACCCAAAATTTATACTAGCAAACTTGACAACTTTAAATCAAAACTTATGGTAGTCTGACAAAAAAAGTCTGAACTTTTTCTTTTCATAGTAAAAGAAACTTGTGCGTTTCCCTAGAACACACAGCACTTAGTTTAGAACTTCAGTTAACGAAGCAAGATCACCTCCTGTTTTTGTGCTGCTTCACTGGCTGACAAAGTTTTATTCAAACTGTCTTGAGCCCACCGAACATCAAACTCATCATTTGCCGACTCGCCAAATGCCTGAAAACCAAAAATTAATTTGTCTTTTTTTTTCGAAATACAAAAATTTTTGCCGTAAAAAACGACCAAAAGTTTCTGAACAATCTTAC